TTTCTATACGTTTTTATGAGCGTTGTTAAGGTTTTCTTGTGCTAAGAACTATGGGTAAATGTACCAGTCGCCATCTTTTTTCCTATGGAGGATTCCAGGTGGCCTTATTCACAGGGTGGCCATAAGGCAGGGTTCCACTGTAATTCAGCAATTCTGTTTAAGCACCTTGATGGAAGCTGGATTAAAAAGAGTCCTGTATGGAAATTGTTCATACAGGAAGACTGCACAATAAAAGATACAAATCTGTTAAAATTAGTATATACATGTATATTTTTACCTGGTAAATATCCAATAAACCTGAGGGGGAAAAAGGTACACACTGATTAACATCAAATACGTCACTGAAGATGTGAAAATTTGTGATCTAAGTGTACAAATAATCAGTCACATTTCACATGTACTGTAAGTTGTGAAAGTAAAAGGGTAATCTTGGTCAAAAGTTTGAGGATGTTATTAAAACATATTGCCAACAAGTCTTAGTCTTGGTCTTAGTCTTCACCTTCCCCTCCCTAACATGGTTAACAGTCTAAGCAGGGCCTAAGATTTCATGAGTCAAAGGGGGGGGGGAGTTTGGAAAGCTGAAGGATGACTCAACACTAAACACAACTTAACACTACAGCTGTAGTTCACAATTTTGTCAAGTTCGCCAAGGACTTCCGCCCTTGTTTCTAGCCATGTAAACACAGAGGTTTCAGTGCTTAAGTCCTCAAAAGTTGCTAAACAGGAGCTAAGTCAACGAGGGTTCTCCTGCTTAATAAATTTAACTGCAAAAAAATAATAATAACAACACCAAACTTACCTTTGGTAACTACATGAAGAGGAAAGTACTCTTTTAATTTGTTTTGATCCACTGCGTAGTTCTTTTCCTCAACCATGGTCATGTAATATCTCATGTCCCAGTAGTTAATCTTGCCATCATAGTCATGGCCCAATTCCTTGCACTACAAAAAAAAAAAAAAAAATTAAAATAAGTAGACATTAAAAAAATAATAGCCATCTGAACAGAATTGCCAATTAAAGGGCTCAAAAAAAAAAAAAAATGAACTCCAGCTTGCCCTTCAGAAAGGTAGCTCTCAAATTTTGCTTGCTCTGGGCAAGTCTTAATTTGCTCTTCATTAATTTAGTTGGCCAATGGCATGTCCTTGCCCTTGCCCATTAGGCTAATGAGAGTGAAGAGTTACTTGCCCAGGCTGCAAGGAAATCTACTTATCCCAGACAAACAGACAGCACTTTGTTTGAGTCCTGTAATTAGATACCGAATTTCTATTAAGTACCTGTTCTAAAATATAGATAAACTGAATAAAGTTGTGTACCAATTACCAATACATGTATTACTGCATCTTTATAAATTTCATATATTAGGTTACCTCAGCCTCCTTTAGACGTAGCATTTCTGATAAATCGGCTTCTCCAAGAGGTCTTAACTTGGTACACAACTCTGCTAGGAAACTGGAAACTGCTTCTGCTGTTTTGGACATCCGTAACTACCGGTAACAAGAAAACAGTTGTGCTAAAATCTAAAAACATTCTTCAGCTAAAAGTATATAAAAAACACAAGCTTTTGATTGTCTTAACTAGAGTCTTCAATGGGAGAAATGGCAAAAGGAGCTGAAAATAATTCTAAAATAATATTTAGAATTTTCAGCACCTTTTAACCATTTTCCCTGATGAAGACTCTAGTTAAGACAGTTAAAAACTTGTGTTTTTATATATTTTTAGCTAGAGAATGTTCTTAGATTTTACCAAGATTTATCCTGGCTGCAGCCCTTCTAAACTTTCAAGAAACCAGTTGATTTAGCACATGTACAATAAATGAGCTAAAGTGTTGAAATATGTTCCTGCCAAGGTTACTGATTCAGCTCAACTCATCACATGTATACAAGTAGATCTTTTTATATTTTTATTGTAAAGAACAAACTACATTGGCACTTAAGTTAGTTTTACCTCTGTAATATAGCTTGCATGTGTTAGATAGCCAAGAAGGTCTGCCATCTATCACAAAATAAAATATACCTCAGTCATGATCCTTTTAAATTAAAGTGTTTCTCTTGATAACAAATCTTGCAACATGAAAAACTATTTGAAGAACTTGGTTGTCTACCATTCACTTGACTTATCATTTTACTTCCTTGTGGTTAACTCAGGGCTCGAAAAATATTTGAACTCCACCTTGCCCATTGGGCAAGTAACTCTCAAATTTTGCTTGCCCCGGGCACTTCCCCACTTGCCCAGGTTTTCAAACTCATTAATAATTCATGAACCCAAAAAAGGAAGTCAAACTACGGGCGTGTTTAATGTAACAAACCCATCTTGACTGTTTACGCCATTATATTGTAATACTTCCACAACTTTTAACTTCTTCATTCCGCTTTTATGAAGTTGTACGGTTTGTAGTAATTAACTTTGTTATTATACAGCCTTGAATAAATTTGTTCAGTTTGTCGAAGATTGCATTCGACTCCTTGAATGTTCACCTGCGTCTTTTCTAGCTCCACGAAATCATTGTGAAGAGAAGCACGAGAAATTTATAACACTCAGAATTAACAGCAAGTCGCGTTCCCACCTCAGTTTTGACACAGGCACAGTGTCGTATTTGAAAAGCCGGCGAGAGCATATTTTTTCATTTGGGTGAATGAAAAATAGTTTCAGTCGAGGGAAAACATCTTCATTTGAAAGAAACACCACCAGGTATTTTAAGTCATCTTCCAGGAACTCTGAAAGTATTTTGATGACTTAGTTATCCATTTCTTTTTAATAACATAATACTTTTCCTTTTGCGCAGCGGCGCCTAAGTAAGTTATCACTAGCAAACTTGCATGTTTCGCCGAAAACAGAGATTTACCTGGATTTTAGCACCAAAAATGCTGGCTACGCTTTTGCAATAGAAATATGCGACTTCTTTTCGCATACAATTTCTACAGCTTTAATATATGGTTGTTGAGTTAAGTTTTGTACAGAGAAACTGGAAAATGCTCACAGAAAATTGCTAAAATTTAAAGAAATAAACACGGCGTTTTTGTGCCCAATGCGGCTATTTTCAATCCTGAAAGGAAATTTGATTGGGGCAGATTTTGATCACATGCTAGGCAGCCACATGTGAGCTGTGAGCGCGCGTCACGCAATCAAGAAAACAACGGTACAAATTGTAATTTTCGTCAAGCTTCATCTAAACACTTGATTACCCTTGAGCCTAAAATTTACCTTTTTTTCTCAAAATTGTTATCAAAAATTTACTCAGCAAATGGCTTTCCTGGGTCCTTGTCCGTGGGGCAAGTAAGGAGAGAAAGTTACTTGCCCGAGGGGAAAATCTACATGTCCTGGACGACCGGACGGGGGTTTTTTCGAACCCTTTTATATATCATCCAGAAAATAAGGCTGTTATATCTACTAACAGTAACTCCAAAAATGTTATGAGTGCTCTTGTCATTCAATTCATGTGCTATATATGAAGTACATTTTGATTTTGCTTTTACAATATTGTAGATCAATGCTATGGCAAACAAGGCAGCTGGGAAAGGATATGAAAGCACAGATTTTTATGAAAATGTCAAGTTTCAATTTGTGGGAATTGAAAATATTCATGTGATGAGACAAAGCCTGCAGAAGATGATTGAGTGTGAGTTTTATGTGATAACTTGATGCTATTTATTTGTGTACATAAGTTTGTAATCCAATTTAGAGGGGGGGGGGGGGGGGGCGTCAAAACTTTGTGTAC